TCCAGCAGAAGTCACCTGGCACAGCCTGACTCACCGCCCTGGGGATGGGTCATGGTTTCAGCTTCATCCTGCCGGGGTGCAGTCCTGGTTCCCCGCCTGGGTGACAATGGGGACAGTGGGATGGGGGAAACTACACCAGGGAGGTGGCAGAATCTGAGCCACCCTGTAAGGTGCTGACATGAGACATCCTTCTTTCCAGGCACCGGTGTGGGGCTGCTGGTGTGTCAGGGATGTGTGGGGATAGTGGGGCTGGCTGGGGAGCACAGAGAGCAAGCAGGGCTCAAGGCAGGGAGCTAAGGGTGGATGATGGTTGTCTCTCCCCCCAGTATGCTCTGCTAGGAGCCACTCGCTCCCTCCACTGCCCCAGTTTGGAGGCCCTCGGTCCCTGCTGCTTCCCACGCAGGCTCATTAGCGAGTTCAGAGCGAGAAAACCCGTTAATGGCACGAAATGACTTCAGGCTGTGACTTGGGGAGTGGGGCTCCAAGCCCAAACCCTCACACACAGTGGGGCTGCTGCTTTTCCTCTTCCTTTGAAGCTCCCCAGCTGCCCCGAGCTGTGGTTCCCTGAGCACGGACGGGGCAGCAGGGACCACGGGGCACCGCAGGGAGCGGCAGCCGAGCTCCCCCCGCTGCTGCCGACCCCTCCCCGGGCTCAGCCCGGCTTCAGGGCAGCGCCGGGCTCGGGCATCACTCCGGAGCGCTCGGCTCTCGCAACGCCATGGGTCATCGCAGTTTTGGGGCTGCGGGGCTCCCGGTCATGCGGTGCCCGGGGAGAGGGAGCTGGCAAGCGCCGTGCTGCGGGAGGCGGCCCGGGCCCCCTGACTCAGCCTGCCGTGGCGGAGGCAGAGGTGGGGTAGCGATACCGGAGCTAAAAAAAACCTGGCCGAGCGCCGCGGAGAGGAAATTTCTCATTAGCCAGAAATGTGCGGCTGAACCAGTCTGACACCCGGGGCGGTCCCCAGCCCCGGCGGCGATACTGGCCCCGGATCCCGGGGACATCAAAGCGGGAGAGGGGCAGCAAGGGGGCTCAGCAGCACTTGGGCTTGGTGGGGGACTGGGGAGGGGTGAAGGGTGTCCCCATCTGAAAATGCCAGATTTAGGTGGCATGAAGGGCTGGGTGGGCAGTGGCATGGGTAATCTGCCATGTGGGGCACAGGCACCAATATCTGTGATACTTCAGGACAGGGCAGGGGTGTTGGCCAGCGAAACCTGGGTAAGGCAGGCTAGCAGGGATGGGGGCATCTCTGCCTCTCTCTTCCAGCCATGCAGCAGTCCTTTGCTCCCCTCATTCCCAAAGGAGCCAGCGTTTCCAGCCAGGGCAGCCCTTGGTGGGAGCAGTGCAGCCCCTGGCACCAGCCCCAGCCCCACCAGCATGGCCACCATTGCCTTCCATCAGATCCTGAAGATCCAGCCTTTCCCAGACTGAGTCAAGGCATTGACCTGGTCTTATTTAATAACCCAAAGTTGCTTTTTGCCTCCTGGTCCAGTGTTGGGTCAGATTCTGCTCCCCAAACACGGCAGACAGGCGTGGGGTGATTGATGCGGGTGCATTTGCTCGCTGGCTGTGCTGCCAAAGACGATGTCAGCTCCCAGGCATCTGCAAGAGAGCTGCCTCCTGCTCCCCAAGGCAGCCCCCCGGCCCTCAGATCCCCCTTTCCAGAATGGCTGGCAGCTCCTGGGGGTCTTGTCCCCCACGTCCCCCCCGTGGGGACACTCAGCCCTGATGAGGGGTGAGGCTGCAGCCCCAGCAGCAGTGGGCAGGGAGGACGGGCTGTGGTGGTGGCAGACAAGGATGGATGCTGCACCATGTGCAAGTCTTCTGCTAGCAACCAAAGGAGACTGGAAGGAAGGAATGGAAAGAAAATGATTAAAACAATTTGTTTTTTTTTTTTTCATAATTAAAAAAAAAGCCCTGGGAAAAAGCCGTGTAGGGTCCTGGCACGTGAACAGAGTCTGTAAGTGGTCTTAAAAATTACCAATAAATAATCTTAACGGGAAACAGAAGGAGCAGAACTGGGGTGTTCGTGGGTGTTTCGTGGCTTCTTGTGAGCATGGGAAAATGTGCTGGGTCCTGTCCCTTGTGCTGTGGGGACAGCCCCGTCCCGGGTCATGGTGTGTCCTTGGCTCCAGCCCTGAGGCAATGACCCGCCTGGCCGGCGTCCGGCCCATCCTCGGCTCAGTGGGCTCAGGATGTGCCCCCAGCACGGCTGTGCTTGGCCTTTCCCTCGGGCACAGGGTGGCACCGGGGACCAGGCACGGCGGAGGGTGTGGAGAAAGCCCGTGCCCTCCCTGCCCCGTGCCCGTGCTGGCCTGCCGGGTCACAGGCGCGCTGTGCCGAGCCGTGCCGAGCCGTGCCGAGCCGTGATCCCTTCCAGCTGTGCCGGCCCCAGGCGGCTGACGGGGCTGCGGGATCCTCTCCCTGCCAAGTTGTTGAGGTGTCAGCCAAGAGTTAGCAGGGAAAACGCCAAGCAGCCGGCGAGCCGGCCAACCCATCCTCCTCAGCCCTCCTCCTCCTCCTCTGCTGCAGAGAGCCTCCCAGCCTCCCGCTGGAGCCCTGAGCCCCCGGGCCACCCCAGCAGGGATCCCCCCGAGGCTCGGCGTGCCCCCATCCCAGCTGTGCCCCGGGACCCTCCGCCGCCGCTCCCAGGGTGTTCCCCCATCCCGGCCCCTCCACCTGGGGCGCATGTCCCCCTCCTCTGGGTCTGTCTGGAAAGGGACGATCCCCCCTCCGCGAACTTTCCAGCTCTCTGCAGAGCGGGAACAATCGTAGCCTTTGTCTTCCCTTAATCTCCTGGTTAGGAATTAAAAGGGGGGAAAAAGCCCAGCAGCACAAAAGGCTCTTTTGCATGGGCTGGGAGGGGGAAGCGCAGGCAGGGCGCAGGCAGGGCTGCGGGCAGGGCTCGCCGTCCCCCAGCCCGGCCTGGCCAGCCACGCTCCCCACGGGCCACCCCACGCTGCTCCCATCCCCACGGCCCCAGGACGCTCCCGCAGTGGCACCGAGGGCTGGCGGCCCTGGGAGCATCATCCAGTCCACTCAGCCCCTCAAAATGTCCTCACCCACTGGATGCTCCAGGAGGAAGCAGGGAGCATTTCTGGCGGGTGGATTTGGACTGGGTTTGCACCCCCGTGGGGTCAAGTGGCTCCTGCTCACTGCCATGGACCCACTTTTACACACACAGCGCCCAAACACACCCTCACCTGCCCAGCACGGGCTCCCTGCCACCCTGAGCACCCCAAGAACCACACAGGCACCACAGACCTCCATAAAATTCCTTAAATAATTTAATTGAAAAAAAGTCTTTCCGTTAAAAAATATTTTTACAAACGCACGCTCGCATTGATTTCCCTGGCTGCTGTTTTTCGCTGTTGCTTTTCTTTCACCATGGAACACAGCTTTCCCCCAGATCTGCATGGAAAGGGAGGAGGCAGGTACAGGATGTGGAGAGCTGCTGGGTGCACCCCGGGCTGTGGCTGGGGCGAGACCCGGGGCTGGCTGCGGGGATGGTGTGTCCTGCCCCACGGGAGCAGGGTGTGCATAGAGAAGGGTGGGAGAAGGGGTTTGTTGTTTAAAATGAGAACAACCCCTCCTCAAAGCAAGGACAGGCCAGGATGGAGGACTGAGATGGGGATGGTTGAGATGCACCAAGGCTGGTGGGACCCCAAACTCTGCAGCAGAAGGGGCTGGGGGGCAAGGGAGGCAGGGGCAGCCCCTGTGCCCCATTGTGCTTCTGCATGGGGGGCTGTGGGTGGTTAGCAAGCCCCAAACAGGCTCTCATATCTCTTCAGCCACTTACTTTTAAAAGCTTCTCAATGCCAGGTTTCTCCTGATCTGGGAGAGGGGTGAGGTCTGCCCAGTGCTGCTGTTTGGGGTCCCACCACGGTGGGGCTGGGGAGCAGCCAGGGAAGGGAGCAAGCCAGGATGGGAAACCCCAGCAAAATGGGGCTGTGGTGTCCCTGTCAGCCAACATCCCAGACACACCTCCCAGAGGAGATGGTGGGATGTGGGGAGACCATTCCTGCTGCAAGACCTGCTGCCACCTGCGCTCCTGGACTTGTTTACCCTGTGGAGGAGGACGGGGTTAATGAGAAACCCAAGGGCAGGCCTGTTCCAAGGGAAGGGAAAAAACAGCACCTGCCGTGTCAGCCCAGGGAGGAGAGGATCGGAGCCAAACACTGGGGAGAATAGGGGTGCACTCCCTCATTTTGGGGAGAGACCACTTGCCCCTCTGGACTGGCAGCAAAGCACCCCAAAAGCCAGTTAGCAAGGTAGTGCAGCCGAGGGGGACCTGAGAAACCCAGGATGAGCAACTGGGGCTCCACTTGGCTACTGTGGACAAATCTGCCCTAGGCTGAGGGCATGGGCCCCCCAGATCTGCTCTCCCAGGGGGTTACCTTGCCAGCTGCAGCTGGTCTGTTCACCCTGCTGAGCTCTCCCCTGCTCAAGAGACATTTTGTAGAGGAGGAGTGAGGCCAGTAATCCAGGGCTGCCAGGGGCTGCTGCAACCCTCCTGCTGAGGGCAGAGTGCCCAGAGGGAGGCAGGGGAGGAGCAGTGCCCTGTGGAGAAGCCCCGGAGCTGTGGGGACCCTCTGGCACTGGATGAGCAGTGTGCACGGCTGTTCCCTGCTTGGCTTTCACATTCCCGGTTTGCTTCCCACAATTCCAGCTTGACTTGAGGAGGGTATGGGGGAAAAAATGCTGAGTAATTCTAGTACAGTGGAGTTTCCTGACTGGCTCTGACCTGGCACTCAGAGCCTCCACCCTGTGTGCCTCACGGGGAGCGTGCTGGGTCTCCCAGCAGCACTGGGTTGGTAGAGCATCACTGCCTGGTCCCTGTCGGACAACCTGAAAACATGACAGCAAGAGAAGGGGAGAGCAGAAAGGGGCACACAGCCAGCTTGGGGTCGGCCAGGAGGAGGAGAAGGATGACCCTGGTGGGCAGCGAAGCTGCAGGCAGCTGGGCCCATCCAATGAGAGCGCGATCGAGCAAAGGAAACTCGGGTAAAATTCTTATTGCCTTTATTCTGCCCATTGCCTCCCACAGTCCTGCGGCCAGCACACACCCACGCACGCATGCACACACTCACGCACACTCAGGCACGCTGGGAGTCTCTCCCTCGGCTCGGAGGAACCGGGCTGCAGTGAATCCTCAGGGAAAGGTGAGTGAGTCTTTTGGCAGCAATCACAGCGTGTGTCAGGAGCGGGCAGCCGCGCCGGCGGCACCTGCTCCTTCTGCATAAAAGAGGAGGCTGGGGGAGCCGCGGCCCCCGGCGCAGCCCCCGCCCCAGCCCCGCTCCCGGCCCCTCGGGGGAGCGCGGCTGCCGTCGGTCCGGGGGCGGAGGGTCCCTGTGCAAACGTGCTGATGGCCTCGCTCTGCAGTCCAGAGCCGGCCAGGAGAACCAAGAGGGTAAGAGATGAGGAGCCGGGCACCTGGTCCCCCTCCCTCCCCTTTCTGCTCCCTCTTATCTTTTTTTAATATATCTCTTTTTTTTCCGGTTTTTTTTTTTTTTTTTTGCCTAACTCCCTGCATAGTAAATCGGGTTCGGGTTCTGGCGTGCAAAGCCAAGAAAGGGAGCGAAGCCTTCCCTTCGGACACGTTCCAGTGCAGACCCTTGGGCGGAGGGCTTGCCAGGGCTGGAGAAGAGGAGTGATTGTCTGGGGCTGGTGGCCCCAGCCCTGTCGCTGGCTCAGCCTCCCCCGGCTGCTTCCATGTGGGGAACAGAGTTAGGGAAGGCTTCGGACATGTCTGACGGACTCGGCGGACGGGTCAACAGTCTGTGGCCTCAGGGAGGTGAGGGAAGTGAGGACTGGGGGAAAACAGGGTGAAAAGAAATCCAAGAAGCAGAACAACTCTTCAAACCGATGAGCACCAAGACAGGGTGGGAAGTGGGATGTGCCATCTCTGTCCCATAATCCATCTTCAATATGAAGATGTGTTGCTGCCTCGCCATTCCAGGACAAGGGACGAAAAGCTGGGCTCCCTCAGCATGAGTGCCTTCGATCCAGGGAAGGGCGTCCCGTCCCATCCCGTCCCAGCGACCGTCCGAGGCAGAGGAGCGCCATGTGGAGGGGAAAAGCTGGGCTGCACCGCAAACTGAACCTTTTTGGCAGGTTCCCTTGGTCCGTTCCAATGCAGAGTCCCCTGTGGTCAAACCTGCACTGGCAGCGTCTGGTTCATCTGCAGCCTCATGTCCTGAATGCTGCTCAAGATCTTCTTCTGGTGCCCTGCTAGCGTCACCCCTATCCTCAGCAGGTCCCTGCAAGGAAAAGGTGACAACTCAGCCCCCAGACACCAGCAACATCAACATGTGGCCCTGCCCCACTGGGGCAACTGATCTATCCATCATTACAGCCCTCTGCCAAGCTCCAGCGCTCCCTCTAACACCACAGGGGACTGGATGCTGGATCCAAAACCTGAACTCTCTTGGCATTGGATGCTGAATCCCAGTCCTTAATTCAGCGCACCACACACCCAGGTGGGAAGAGTTGGCTGTCAGATAGGCAAGGGACAGTGTGCAGCAGCCCCAGTTTCCATTTTCTCCCTCCTCCCCTCCAAGCAGGGACTTACTCCGCAGTCATCTGTGCCACCAGGTCAAAGGAGGCAAAGCCAGCATTGACGAAGTTTTCCTTGTACCGTCCCATTTTGATGGCATCCAGCCAGTCTCCTACGGTGGTGAAGGTGGTGTAATCTGGGACAGTGCGGTCCAAGAGCGGCTGGGAGATGCTAAAGGGCAAGAGAGCCACAGGTCACAGGGTGTAACTGGCAGAGAGGTGTAACTGGAAGCAAGGGATATTTCTTATCCCCTCCCTCCCACAGCTCTATTCCCAACCACTGTTCCCTGGAATTGGGGTAGGTGCTGGCTGGAAATAAGGATGTCACTGACCCAGACTGGACGCTGGCGATGACCTTCAGGCTGGCAGCATTGCGGATGAGCTTGTCCAGCGTGTTGACAATCTGTGCAAATTTGGGCCTCAGGTTGCGGTCTCGCACCCAGCAGTCCAGCATCAGCTGGTGCAGTGCAGTGGGGCAGTCCATGGGGGGTGGCAGGCGGTAATCCTGCTCCACGGCATTGATCACCTGCAGAAAGACAGGCAGAGGCAGGTTGTGAGGCACCTGGGCTCCCGCAGGCAGCCTAAAGCTCCCAGTTCCCTACTCCCCAGAGAGCACTTACATCCTGGTTGGACATGTCCCAGTAAGGTCGTTCCCCGTAGGACATCACTTCCCACATGACGATGCCGTAGCTCCACACGTCGCTGGCTGAAGTGAATTTGCGGTAGGCGATGGCCTCGGGAGCTGTCCATCTGATTGGGATCTTGCCTCCCTGCACGGACACACAGCTCCATGATTAATGCACACCTGAGGTGTCTCCCCCCACCCCCAGATCAGTAGATCCCTCCTGAGTGTCCCATACCAGGGAGCTGGTGTAGGTGGGGTCAGCTGGGTCATCCTCCAGAAAGCGAGAGAGCCCGAAGTCAGACACTTTGCAGACCAAGTTGCTGTTGACCAGGATGTTGCGGGCAGCCAGATCCCGATGCACATAGTTCATCTCCGAAAGGTACTTCATGCCGGCGGCGATGCCTCGCATCATTCCCACCAGCTGGATGACTGTGAACTGCCCGTCATTCAACTGCCAGAGGAGAGATCAGAGGGGCTTGCAACAGCTTTGGAGGAAGGATCCCAGTGTGCTACCATCACCGTCCTCCTCCCTGAGCCACCCCGCTTCTCCCACTCAGAGCTTAACCCTGGAACACCAACACGACAATGCAGAGAGATGGAGAAGGGCTCAGAGCTGCTGCCCCCCCATGCACTGCACCCCCAGCCCAGGGCAGGAGGGGATGGATGCTCACCCGGAGGAAGGAGTCAAGCGCACAGTTCTCCATGAATTCCGTGATGATCATGACGGGGCGGCTCTTGGTCACCACCCCCTCCAGGTGGATGATGTTGGGGTGGTCGAACTGGCCCATGATGCTGGCCTCGCTCAGGAAGTCCCGCCGCTGCCGCTCCGTGTAGCCCACCTTCAGCGTCTTGATGGCCACGAAGATCTCGCGGCGGCCAGGCAGCTTCAGGCGCCCGCGGCACACCTCACCAAACTCCCCTGTGGTGGGAACAGAGAGGGGAGCAGCACGGTGAGCCACAGGACAGGGTGAGAGGCAGCAGTCTCAGCACCTGCTGTGCCCAGCCCCAGGACTTGCCTGCTCCAATGACCTCCTCAATTTTCACACAGGAGATGTCAATCTCTTTGGCAAATTCCCGGACAGCTTCATTTGGGTCCTCATAGGTGAAAGGGTCAATGTACACCTTCATCCCAGGGGTAACTGCAAGGGCAGAAGCCATCACCAGGGGGGACGCAGCAAGGGTGACAGATGCCAAGCCACTTGGCTGGCTGTCAGCCCACCTCCTGTTAGAAAAGGCTGCCCCTTTGCATGGGACAGGAATTGGGAGAGGGCAGCCAGAGTCCATTTGCTGGGCTCTCACACTCACCATATTGCTGCAGCTTCTCTGTGTACTCGGGGTCGGTGTTGTTGCGTTGCTTCCTGCCCAAAGGAGACGAGAGGAGGTGTTCAGTAACCATCCCTTTCCTGATGGGGCAAAGACATTCACTGCCAACTTCCAAATCCCAGCACAGACAGCCTCTGTCAGAGAGCCTTCCCTCTGGCAGCCTGTGTGCAGAGCTATCCCTCCACCCGAGGTGCAATGGGAAGAGATGGCCTAGTTGTGCTGAGTGCATGGCAGGAGCCTGGGGAAGCAGAGGCACAATCCTCCCACAGGACCCCTGCTCTGGGACCTACATGTGGCCAGTCCAGTCCTTAACTCTGTGACTGGGGCTGCCAGAGCTCTGCCCACAGGTGAAGGGGAAAGCTCTGTGGCAGACATGAGCAACCCCCAAACCCAGATTTGAAGCCCTCTTCCCTGAAAAGCCAGTACCTGAAGCAGACGATAGCAATCACCACCACCACGATGACGAACACCAGCCCTGCAGTGGCCGAACCCACGATCAGAGGCAGCTCCTGGAAAGTCTTGCTGGTGGAACCTGATGGAGGGACAGGCAGGAATCGAAGTCAGACTGGGAAAGGAGCAGGCATGGGAGGGCTGGGCCATGGAGGCAGCCCAGTGCTGGTACCTACCACCCTCAGCAGTTGTCTGGAACTCCGTGGGGAGGCTGTAGCGGCCGTATCCCGCCACGGTGCGTGCCCGGACCTGCACCATGTACCGAGCATTGGCCTTCAGCCCGTCCAGCCGCACCGAGTTCTTCTGGCTGGTGACTGTGTTGGCGATGCCATCACTCTGGCCTTGCTGTAGGGGAGACGTGGGTGTCACCTCTGTGAAGCCACCCTCCATTTGCTGGCTCCCACATCCCCCAAGCGCCAGGTTTGCAAGGACCCCCTATGCCATGGTGCTGATGGCCAACTAGAAGGGCTGGAGGAGGGAAAAGGCTGTTCCTGCTTTACCTTCTCTGAGTACTTGATCTCATAGTCCAGAATGATGCCGTTGGGCCTCTCTGGGGGAGTCCATGACAGCGTCATGCTGTTCCCGGTGCTGCTGTGCAGGTGCATCGTCGGTACGGCAGACGGGGCTAGGAAGGAGGGCAGGGAAGGAATGAGCCACCTGCACCAGGTTTCCCCCTTCACCTTCCCACACAGTGGAGGGAATGCTCTGCCTGTGACCTGCTTGGATAATCTTGGTGGAAAGGCATGGAAAAGCGTTGAGACTGGCCTCCCCCAAGTCTCCATAAGGAGGTGTGATCTCAACACCAAGGGGAGCCTCAGAAATAGCACTGAAGTCATGCTTCACCCCATGCCTAGCTGCAGACTGGTCTGGGGAAGGGCCTTGCCAACCCAAACTGGGGCTCCCTCCCCTCCTCCATTTGCCAGGAGCTCTGTGCTCCACCCCAGCAGCAAGACCCGTGAAATCAGATCAGTGCGCAGTGGCTGGAGATTACCAGCACGCTGGAGCAGGGCCAGAGCGGGAGGAAGGAGGGAATGGCAGAGCACTTGGCTGCCTGCAAGGGCTTGGGCTGGTGCTCAGCCTTCCCAGGCGCACAGGAGAAAAATCTCATTTCCTTCCTCCTCCCCTCGCAGCAGGCACACCATCTCTGGGGTAGGTCTAGAAGATCCAGAGCTCTCTGGAGCATCTGCCAGCCCTAGTCTTCCCCACTTGCCTGCATTCTGATCTCATCTCCTCTAGGGACATGCTTTAAACAGAGAGGAGAGTTTACCCAGGGGATTAGATGTGAGCCCAGAGAGCCAGTTAGGCGGCACCACAAAGGACTGCAGCCTCCTAGGCTGTCAGAAAGAAATCTCTGCTCCACTCTGCTCTGTGGAGAAGATACAGCCCCTGCTCCCTGGTGGCTCCACTGACCTGCCTGGTTGGTGGTGATGTTGACAGAGGCAAAATGGGGAGGGTAGGGACTCTTGTTGGAGATGCCATTCACGGCCTGGATCTCGAACGTGTACTGGGTGTGGGCCATCAGGTTGCTGATGTAGATGCGTCGCTCAGTGAGGCCGAGCTGGCGCGGCACGAACTCCACGTTGTCGTCGCAGCGGGTGCACAGGCGCCGCTCCACGCTGCATTTCTTGCAGATGACGTTGTAGAGCAGGTCATCCCTGCCGCCCGTGTCCTGCGGCTCGCTCCACTCCAGCACCAGCGACGTCTCGTTCACGTTGGAGATGACATTGCGGGGGGCTGAGGGGACACCTGCGGGGAAATGTGAGGGGCAGGAGTGGTGTGTCTTCATGTCCAGCTCACCCCAGCATGGACACTGCACGTACCCCCATCCCAGACACAGACCCCCATCACCTCCACAGCTTCCCCTGCCTCCCCTCCTTGCCCAGAGAGGACTCACTGGTGCAGGCGCTGTCTGCAGGGTCCGTGTCTGCCCGGAAAAAGCCGTTTCGACAAGTGCAGACCATTGCTGCTCCAGAGGTGGTGCGGCTGTTGGGAGGGCAGGGAGAGCAGGGACCTTCCCCCTGCTTAGACTTGAAGGTTCCTGGGCCGCACGCTGGAGGAAAGAAAAAAACAGACCCGAGTTATAAAGTGAATACAAAAAACATTCACTGCTCCCACCATAGCTGGGGGCAGACTCTCCCTTGCTGCCCTGCCAATCTTTGATCAGTGGCTTGAAGACCTCAGGCTTCCTACAAGCCTTTCCACTGCCATCAGCCATGCCCAGGGACTCATGGCTGGGAAGGGCAAGAAGAGTGGGCTGCTGGAAGCACCAGATGGCTCAGGCACAGCTCTGCCAGGAAATGCTGGGCTCCAGCAGCACGACCGAGGTAACTGGAGGTGGGAAAAGTTGATCACCACCAGCAGTATGGGGGACACAGCAGGTCCATTCAGGACACCATTCCTCAGTTTTGTTTCTTCACTGCTCTTCACAAGGGTCTTACCATGCTCCCTTCCATGTAAGAAGGCCATGCTGGTTTCCAGGCCTGGCAACCTTCACAGTGCCAGGTCCATCCTTGGGAAATATGGCTAGGAAGGAAAGAATTCCTCTGCAGCCCTGTCTGCAACAGCCCCTGCAAGAGGCCTCCATCACCCAAAATCAGCCACTCAACCCCAAACCTTCCGCCCCAGGCTCTTGAGCCACTTCTCAGTCCCGGGGCGGCGGCACCTCACGAGGCCAGCTCAAGTGGAGCGCTGAGCGAGATGAAAACATTCCTGCAGGTCCTTGGCTGAAGAGCTGCTTCAGCATCACTGCCACCTCCCTCCTCCGCTTCCGACCAGGGTCCTTCAAGGAGCCACGAGTCCTGGGACAGGGCCCGATTGGCACCGCAAGGTGTTTATTTGTAATGAGGGGCACGTGAAAGGTTTAACAGCACTTGAGCCGAGGAGCAGAGTAGCCTCAGGAACCTGACCCACACCTCAAAATAGCCCAATTTATCACACTGCTGCCCAAGGAAGCGGATTCTGTGCTCTGTGTTTGCAGCCGGATGAAATGAGAGACCCACTGGCGCCGGCTCTGCTTCAGCATCACCCTGTTTGCCACAGCTGGGGCAGCATCAGCACCGATGGCCCCGAAGGAGGGCACGTCCTCCTCGCTCCACCATGCTAGGGAAGCTCCGAGGGCAGGTGACCCTCCCACGCCTGTCACACATCATCCTGAAAACAGGAGGAGGTTTCCTGGTGCTTCACCAGGCTGTGGCAAGTGGAAGTTTCCTGCTATGAGACATCTCCCAACACCCTGTGTGGAAGTTTTCCGGCTGGCTGCAGCCCCACATGGGGTGTGGAGTGCTGTGAGTCACACGCTGCCAGGCCGGCCCCGCAGGGACCCGCACACAGCTCCAGGTGCTGTCCTGGGTTCCTGGTTTGTCCAGGCACCAAGCAGCACCAACCCCAAGGGAGAAGCCCCGCTCCTGTGCAGTGCTGCTGGTCAGGGAGACGTGAGAGCAGCCCTTGCAGAGACAACTGCCTGCTCTCCAGCCCCTCTGCCTGGATGGGCGTCAGGAGCTGCTTCCTGCTCCCAGGGTGTGAGCCTTCCAGCAGTGAGACTCTTCTTTGGTCAAAACAGGACTGACTACATGGCTCAACTAACTCCAGCTCCTTGACCTGAGTTCACCCAGCCTCTGGGCCTTCCCTTTGGAAATGAAAGCTTTGCCGTCCCGACTGTGCAGGCTGGAAGGCAAAGCAGTGCACAGATCTGCTCCTTGGCAAGCAATGGGAAGCCAGCAGGTCCAGGGCTTCTGTCTCCCCAGCCTGGGACAACCAGGCCACCAGAAAATGTGACTTTATGTGGACAGCAAAGGCCCAGAGGTCGCAGAGAAGCCTTGGCATAGGCAGACGCGCCCCGGCTGGAGTCCCGGGCGGTTCAAACTGGGTGGATGCAGATTCACACATAAGGAACCAGATTGTTGAGGAATGAGAGATGACTGAAACCTCTTGGACAGGAACGCTCTGGGCTCAGAAAGCTGCCAAACATGCTTTGGTTATGGAAAGGAGCCCAGATCCATCAGGGACAAAACCCCCTGAACAGGCTTGTTGGGGGGAGAGTGAAGCCCGAGCAACCAGAGCTTATGTGAAGCTGACAGCCCAAGCATGGCATGGCAGCCAAGGACAGCCAGGTGCTTGCAAAGGATGCAGGAGGGATGCAGGAGGGCACTTGGTCTCCAGCACATGAAGTGCCAGCCAGTGCCCAGTGGGTTATGGGCATGGAGGTGATAGTGGCCTCCCAGACACAGGAGGAAGGGACAGGCAGAGCTGTCCTTCAGCAGCTCCCTGCCACCCCTAAGTAGTGCCCAGCGCAGGCACAAGGGACGAAGGCCTTTTCTTTGCATCCTCACGCCCTCCTGGCAGGAGGGGGACGAGCCATGAACCAGCCCTGTTAAGAAGGGGAAGAGCAGCAGAGGGACTGAGGCCCAGATGCACTCCAGTGTGTAGATTTCCAACTCTGCTTAATAAATCAGAGCATAAAGACCTCGGTGGCAGCGTGACAGCTCTCAGCCGCCACATTTGAAGGCTGTAACCGAGCTGAAAGCTGATCCCAGGTCCCTAGTGGATAAGCCGCTGTGTCATCTCTTCTCTGCAAGAAACTGCCTGTACAACAACCACTGTCTTGGCCGGCACGCTGCGGAACGAGCCTGGGAGCTCTGGAGTGGGAACGTGACTCCATCCAGCCGGAGCTGGGAAGCCAGGCTCCCTTCTCCCTGCCGAGAGCTTTGCATAAGCACTTTTCCTGCTGAAGTGTCCTCAAATAAAATAACAACTCTGATCCTCTGCACACAGATCACATCTCCTGGTGCTGTGCTGCGGTCACTTCTGGGGAGAACATGACAGTCAGTGACAGCCACAGGATAACAGGTCAGGGAACCGAAGCGGAGCTCCCCGGTCTGGAGAGGTTTGATGGGAGGGAGAGGCAGCCTGGCCTGACAGCAGAGATCAGCCACAGAGGGGATTTGTGTGGGGCGTGGGAGGGAGGAGGACAGTAACAGAGCCCTGCTGTAAAGCTGCCCCTGCACCCCTACGGGGCATCGCACTCCCAGCATGGCAAACGCGGCCGTCCGGCTGCTTCTGGCAGCCCCTCCAGGATTTTCATCAGCCACCCACCTCCAGGGCCTGATCCTGTCTCAAAGAGCTGCAGCACAGAGCTGGGGGAAGAGAAGGGTACTGCTCCCAAATACAATCTCTACCGCGGTGAATAAAGTTCAAGGAAGGGAGGTGAAAAAAACACTGAAATAAAACCCTTCTGGCAGCAGCAGAGAGCAGTGACTCATCCCGTAGGCAGCCTCCATTATTGCACGGGATGCAGGCAAGCAGCAGTGAACCACGTGTGCATCCCCAAAACTCTGGGGTCCCCTCCCCTGGGGAAGGCAGGGATAGCCGTGACACACTGGAAAAAACCAGCCCCAAACTACCATGTTTCATGTTTCGACTGCTTCCCATTCACACTACAATATTCCAGCATCCTTCCAGCTATTTCTCTCCCTGTAGGACTGAAGCAGGACGCCTCGCCTGAGCCTAGATAAATTAAACTGATCATATCCCTTTGCCCATCAACCCTGTAATTTCTTTAGAGGCAGCAGTCAGGTTTGTTCGGGACGATCTGTGCTTTATGAACCTGCACAGCTCGCTCCCTTCTCGCTGTCGTAAGTGGCTGCAGATGGAGCAGAGCAGTGGAAGCAACAGCCTGCCTAGAGCCGAGGCGGTAACTCTGTTTTTAAGTCTCTTAAAAGGCAGTTATTTAAAAAAAAATAAAATAATCACCCTTTGGGTGAAAATATTTCACACTAGCGCAGTCCAAAAGTGAATGGAGTAAATCTGAAGGGAGAGAAGGGAAAGAGCCTTTGGGGATTTGAAGTGGCATCCAAGGAACAGGCAGGAAAACAATTTTTTTCTTTTCTTTTTAAGAAAAGAAAAAAAAAAATTCAATAAGCAAAGCTGCCTCTTGAGCCACAGCGGGTCAGAGGCAGGACGGCAGGGGCAGATTTCCTCGACTGTGTTACAAGTAACCCATTGTGGAGCTGCCTGGCTGTAAACCGGCAGCTCTCCTTGCCTTCCCTGCTGCTGCCTTTGATCTGGAATCCCGGGCAATTAATCCCAGGCAGTTTCACTTCCTGGGTTTCATGCAGCAAGCCCATGTTGCAATGCAAAGCTGCAAACAGTTGGCAAGTGCAATGCTTGCTTGGCAATTTTTTTTTTTTATTTAATTCAGGTGATGTTTTCATTAGTCACTGATTGCACGGGAAATTTATTTTTGCAAAAATTCTGATTATGGCCCCAGCCTGACCTGCACTCACCTACTATTGTGCCCAAATGTTCAGTGCCTGGTGCTACGAGAAAAGAAACACCAAGAGGACTGAGAAATGGGTCTCAGGAAGGTGTGGTGTCATGCTGGACACTGTCACTCCAGTGCTCCTACGGTTTGGGTATCCACAGACTGCACCACACAGACTCAGTTCCCCTCCCAAGTGAGGTGCAGGCTCTGGGGGCACCGTGGTCCTCTCCCAAGTAGAGGGGACATGCAGGGAGGGGGCTCACTGCTCACCCCGGCACAGCAGCCTTTCTGTCTTTGTGTGGAACCAGCAACACAAGTGGTGCAAATCCCAACAAATCCATCACGGAGCACGTGCCCAGAAGCATTTTTGGAGAGCCCCTTGACACCAAATCCCCTGAACTGTTTGGGTGCCTCCTAACCAAAAGGAGAAGGGATGGGGCTGGGGGAAAAGCTAAACCCCAGGGATGCAGGGCGTGGGGTGGGAGTGCAGTGCACCCCAGCCCATGCTCCCCTCCCTGGCCAGCAGCTCCTCCTTGTCCTCCAAGAGCTGCCTCTGCAGCTCTGCGTGGTAGGGAGTGTGTGGGAAGCGGCACAACCCCCAGAAGGGCCGTGTGCTAATTAAATAAAGATAATGAGGCTGAGAATGAGATGCCAAATCAATGCTGTGGCAACCCAGGAGCAGAGCGCCAGGTACCAGCCTGGCGTATCGCCTTACAAAGCATGCCAAAGAAACTGTCTTCAGTCGGGCAGGATGAGCCCTCTGCTCCCGAGGGACTGGGATACAAGCTGCATTGTAACAGGTCTGAATGTGAGCTCTAATCTTGGCTTGGATGGAGATAAAGAGGAGGAGGAGGAGGAGGAGGTCTTCAAAGGCCACTGAAAGTCTGGGAAAAGGGGGAGATTTACAACAGGGCTTATCCCATCTAAGCAGTAACTGGGTATTGTTATTTATTAAAATGCCATCTGGCACTCTGGAGCGCTGCTCGCCTGCACGGTGAAGCCCCTGCAGGCTCCCTGGGGCAGGAGTGATGAAACCCCAGCTTTGGGGGCTGAATCCCCCCTGCTGCCCACGACACGGGCTCGGAGACTTCTTAGCGGTGCTGGACTGTGGAAATGGGGTAAGGGAACATGCAGCCAAGAGGAGAAAAGGAGCTGCAGCTCCGGCTTCTCCCAGCCCTTCTTCAGCTGTTTCCACTTAAAACACACGATCATATGGCGGAAAATCTGATCCTACAAGCGCAGTGCAACTTTCCCAGAGAAACGTGAGGACACCACTGCTTCTGCCCAGCGAGAAGGCAGGCTGCCGGATGGAGACGTGCCCGTGGCCCAGCGTGGCTTCCCTGCCTGCTGCAGCAGAAGCTGGGGCTTGCTGGGGAATCAAAGGCGCTGGGAAAGCTGCCACATGGGGGTCTGTCCAGCTTGGGGATGTGGAGAGGGGACCTTGCCTCAGGCTGCTGAGCCTAATCTGAGGAGCTCTGTCCTACCTTGGGATGCCTCTCAGCACATCCCTGGTACTGGAATGGAAACTGTCACCTTGTGCCCAAACCCCACTCTCTGCTGGGAAAGAGCCAACATCGTGTATGGTCTATGATCTCCCAGTCCAAGCAAGAAGGAACGCAGCTACCCAGGAGCATGGATCTCAGTGCAGTTTAAAGTGTGGATGGATGCCTGGCACGGGTGTCCATCAGCCAGGAGGAGCCAGATTGGCTCCCACAGGACTGATGCAGGGGGCTGTGGCACTGAAGTCAGAGCTGTGCTGGCACTGATGGTGCTGGAGGCTCTGGATCCCTGGCAGAGCTGTGGCCCTGTGGAGACTGACCTCTCCCTAACTAGCCACAGCAGCATGGCTGTCAGCGACGCTGCTCCCAAAGCCAACGGGGAGGCCAGCCTGGCCCGAGCCCCACATCACAGGCCATCCCAAATCACACGGGCCCTGCCAAGAGCAAAGGGCTGGCGCCAAGCATCCTGTCATCGGCGAGCACAAGGCATCCAGTGCTGGGGGCCCCGCCAGCGTCCCACTCCCTGTACAATGCCTGCAGCCAAGGGGAACAGCAACCTTTCTGCCCCCAACCCCAGCCACCCCAGGGCAGGGTCCTGCCTGCCAGAGACATCTCACAAGGAAAAAAATCACCCCAAGGGAATGCAACATTCATCCAGACAGATTTTTCCTTATCAACACCCCAGAATGGGGTTAAACAGCAACACCAAAGCTATCGTGGGAGAGCATGGCAGCTGCAGGACCCACACAGAGCTATCCTGCTGCTAGGGTGGCTCTCCATTCCCAACATCTCCATGTGCAAGATATGTTCCCTTCCAGCAAGAACAAGGAGCTTCAGATCCACTGCCTTTGTGCTGGTCCCTACCATCCCTGCTGCAAGCTTTCAGCACTGGCAGGGGGAGCATGCAACAGCATGGCTTCTCCCACAGGGGAGCCCTGCTCACCACCAGGGCTTCTGAACAAGCCTCCGCACAAGCAGCATGAAATCACACTTGCCAAGAACAATCACTTGCCCCAGCCATGAGCACTGCAGGAGGGAGAGAGGGAAGATCCTGGATACGCCAGCAGCGATGAGAGAGAGGTTTTGGTAATGCTCAAGGGCTTAAATGTGCTGGATTCCTGCTGAAGACCACGCCCTGAGCTGCAGCTCTGTGCAAGGAGATGCATCCCACAAAGGGTAGCACTGCTGATTGCTCACCAGTGTGTCCCAGCAGACACTGCACGAGTCCAGACCATGAAGGTTTTAAGGCTTCGGAGTCAAACTGCAGACCAGTCCTCTGAGGTAACACCCTGCTCACTCATCAGGAAAAAGCCTCCAAACCCAGACTGAGCTCAATGCAAAATCACCTCCTTCACATCAACGGACCCATGGGGACAAAGCCACGCTCACACTGCCACGCACATACCTTGGCACTGGGTGTCCTTCATGGTGGGCTCATATCCAGCAGCACACGTACATGCTCCCACGGGTACCATCCACTCGCCGTCGCCGTTGCAGTACAGCTTTAGGGGCACAGACACCTCCACTGCATTGGGGATGCAGGTGCCCGGTGCGATGACCAGGGAAGTGGGCTCGGCCCCCGTTAGAGTCTCCGGGAAGATAGCAAAGCCAGCAATGGTGTTGGAGCATTTCTTGTAGAAAGCCCGGACGGAGATGAGGGACATGCAGGCTCCCAGGTCTTGGAAGGCAAGGTAAAAACCATTCTTGGAGAGAGGGCCAAAGCTGCGCACCTTGGTGTTCACGCGGCCAGACTCCAGTTTGGAGAAGCTCTCATCTGGGGCAATTGTATCCACTTTGATATAGGGGTTCTCCATCCAGAAAGGGCTGTTGGCAGAGGCAGAATCCGTATCTGACTCATAATAGAAGAGGTTGAAGGTCTCTTTGCAGGAGCCAGGGATGTTGGGGATGCTGTTGCAGTCCCGCACGGTGAACTTCAGCTCCACGTAGACGCGCTGGACATCCTGGCGCTGGATGAATTTGGTACGAAGCCAGTTGTTCTGGTTGGCCTCCCGGACGTTGCAGACCTGGTACGTGCGGATAGGGTTCATGGCCTCATCATAACCACTGACTTCTTCCCACTGTGATGGAGAGGGTAAGAGTTAGATCCCCAGCCAGGGACATCAGTGCTACAGACACATCGGGAATGGCACAGGGTGGGGGGGAACAGGCAACAGTCAACAGGGAAGAGCAGCAGCTACACCTTCACCTGTCACAACCCTCCTGGTCATCAAGTTGACTAAGAGCAACCCAGGCCAGGGACCATGACACTCCCACTCCGCTGGCACGAAGTCAAGAGGAGATGGTTTCACAAGGCGAGGATATGCACAGGAGGAAAGGACAAAGATGCAGCCAGCTTCACAAAGGCACTGGTGAGCAACCATGATTCCCATGGGGCCAGGGCCAGCTCTGCCCTCGATTCCCATGGGGCCAGGGCCAGCTCTGCCCTTTGGAGGTCAGGACCAGGGCTGGTTCCAAACTTACCCCTGTCTCCGGATGAGTTGTCCATGCCAACTCAGAGGTCACCCACTTTGTGTCCATCAGGGTCTCTGCAGAGAAAGGAAGGAGAGAAAGAACTAATTGGAGATGAAGGCCAAGATTAGAGGGGAAAAAAACCAGGAGGAGTGGGGGAGAGGAGAGCTGAGCCTGACATTTCTGTGGAAAACAGCAACTTGGGGGGTGAGACGTGGTGGGAGGAGGGGGGAGCGGCGCAGACAGACTCCAGATTTCTCTTCTCCTGTCAAGAGAACAGGAAGAGCGAGGCGTCCCTGGAGAGCTGTGCTGGAGGAGGCAAGCAGCAGGACGCGGAGCTGGCCAGGTGGCAAGGGGGAGATGGGGACAAGCTGCCATCCCCAGCCACCAGCACAGCCAAACGTGTCCCCCAGGCAGTGCAGGGGTGCTAAAGGAGGAAGACCGGGCGCCCCTGTCCGCACCCTCCCCCTCTGCTTTGGCAGGGCGCGTATTTAATGTGGCTGGGGTTGAAAGGGCCCGTTCCCATGACAGGGCGGTGCGGGCCAGGCAGGTTTATCCAGAGGAGGAGGGACTGGCAGGCTGCTCTCCCAGAGACGCCCCACATCACTCATTTTACAAGAGGGGAGAAGAATTTGACCGTCTGGCCAACATTCCTGGAGCAGACTACAAGACAAACCACCCCGGCAGCATTCCCCAAACAGCCCCAGCCCCAGCCTTGGGGGAGCGAGACGCTTGTCTGGGAAGAGCTGCAATTGCAGGCAGCTGTCGCTAATCCCAGGCAGAGCCGCGTGGCTCCGCGCGAGCACCACGCGCAAAAACCGGGAGTGAAACACAAGCATGGGGGCACACTGACATGCTCAGGGCCAATGGCCCCTCTGTGAGCTGCTGGCCCTGTGAGCTCTGCTCCAGGGATGGCCCTTAGGCTGTTTGGAGGGGAGCAGGCACCCCAGCATCCTGGGGTCCTCTGGACCTTCTTTTACCTAGGGGGGGTTGGTGGAGGGGGGTGCAAATGCCTGGAGACCCTGGTGTGCTCAGGGGGGCTCTGCTGCCTGCACCAAGCAGAACTCAGGACCAGGGGCAGAAAACCTCCCTGATGAGGGCATCCCCCTCTCCAGCCACAAGTATGGCCCCATCTGAAACCCTGTGCAGCTCCCCAAGGGCTTCATCCATCCATGGCCCACCCGGGCTCAAGTCGAAGGGCAGGGAGCCATGGCTCTCCTAGACCCAGCAGCGGGCTGGGAACCGCTCACTCTCCCTGGCTGGGGCACAAAGATGTGCCAGGGCAGCTCAGTTGTGCCAGCATCACGGCTCAGCCCCACAACAAGAGGCAGTTTCAGCTTCTTTCCTTCCACCCCAGGAAAACCCCAGGCTGACCCAGGCAGGGAGGAAGTGTGGAGGAGGAAGGAAGCATTCACACATCGCAGGGCTTCGGATGAAGCCCGACTGGAGGTAAACACCTTCTTCCCGCGTCCCACCCCGGTGAGACCCGCCAGCAACTCCCAGGCCAGCACCCACAGGCAGGCTGGGAGCACAGGCTGTGGGTGCCACCACGGTATAGATAAACAAGCACATTTGGGGACACGTGGGCTCCCTGACCTGCCTTGTGGCTTGCCAGGTTTCCAGCTGGGCCAGCGAGCTTGCTTCTCGCCCAGGCTGTTTGCCCAGTGCAAACACAAACACAGTTCCATTGTGGCCTGATAGCACTAGCAGTGGGCATGGCACTGGGGACAGAGGGAGGAAAACCTTTCATGGTGCCAACACCCCATTGGCAGAGGTGTAGAAGGGCAGCATCCACAACAGACTGCAGTGCAGAGATGGTTACTGGGCAGGAGTTATCTGTTGTTTCTCAAGAACACAAACTAGGGGCATCTGACAAAAAAGGAGGGAGAGAAGGAAGAAGCCCTCTGTCAAGCAGGTAATGCAGGAGGGGTGGGACACAGGATGGGCAGAATGGGTCTGTGCACCCATAAGGCAGTTTCTGCTCAGTCCCAAGGCACTACTTGCCCAGGAGACACAGAAGCCTCCATCTCCCTCCCTTCCCATTTCCCACACCACCAGTTACTGAACCCCGGCAGGATCCCAAGTGTGGCTTTGCACGGCCACAAGACCACTGGAGACACTGCTGCGCTTCCCAGACCCCTGCACGGGGTGGTGGACAGTGCCAGATGATGGGGGAGCAGGTTCCAGAAGGGGGCTGCCCACACCTCTGCGAGGGACAGGCCCCGTGCTGGCTGCCCTAATAAGGGCACAGCGGTGCTGAGGGCCCGGACATGCCGCGCTGGCGGTGAGCGGAGCCAAGCGTGTGCTCAGCGCTCCCAGTGCGGGGCTGCCAGCTCCCCGTGCAGAGACTCCGTGCGGGTCCAGCCAGGGCAGGGCCCGGCTGCCGGCACGGCCAGCCAGGGGCTGTTTCTGCAGCAGCAGCGGGGAAGGGATGCCCTGCGTTCTCAGGGCTGGGGCTGCTGATGGATGAGCGGCTGTGGCGGTGAGTCAGGCTGGGCAGATGGGGATCTGGGTGGCAGGGTGTGCCCGCAAACAGAGTGACACAAGGATGCTGTGGCAAGCCACAGCATAGCACGGACTGACCAGACCATGGTGGGTGTTTGCTTCCCAAACCCATCCAGGGTATGCGGGGACTGTCCTGCACAGCAGCAGGCCCCATGTAGGAAGCCCTTGCCATGTTGTCCCCTCTGGCAGCGTCCTTCCCCTTGAGTGTTGGCCGTGGGCAGAACCTCAGCTTGGACAGGAGGCTCGCTGCCTGCATCCTAATTTGGCAGCATCTGCCATCTGACCAGCAGAGGAGAGAAAAACTGACAGAGCCAAGCCGGCTGTTGGCGTGAGAGCCACGTAAACCACACAGAGAGAGCAGGGAGGGGAAATAATAATAATAAAAAAAATTTCACTGAGCAACTCAGCAAAAGGAAACAGGCTGAGCATAGAGGGCAGAGGGGGTTTCCTGCAGCCACGGGAGTGACCCAGGTGGGGTCAGTGGAGCCTCCCAGACCCTTGCAGCCTGCCATTGTGAAGGCTGTGGGTGGAAGGCCCTATGGGCTTCTGTGCTGCATGGTCCAGGGGCTGGTGGCACATGCTGAGCTGAGCTGCAGAAACTGCTCTGAGCCCTTAAAGGTGCTGCAGAGCTCTCACAGTGGCTTGGCCCTGAACCTGGTCCTCTCTCCCAAAAACACTGGGGCACACCAAGGACTGGCCCCCCATGAAAGGGCATGTGAGAGGCATGCTTGGGCTGGGAAGCCCAAGCACTGGGCTTCAGTGGTTCAGGATCAAGCAGCTGCTCTCTGCCTCCAGCCCATGGTGCCAGAGTGGGGCTGAGAGGTGGCACCGGTGATTTCCCGGTGTGGTTCAGGTTTGCAGGTGCTGTGGAGGGACGTGAACAGCGTCAGGGCTGGCTGAACAGTGACTCAAAGCCACTTCAATCCCGCACACCACAGCAAGAGCCTGGTCCCATTAGTCAATGGGAAATTGGCTCCCAATTTTGCCAGCTTGGGGAAGTCACCCTAAGGCTTGCTTTATCACTGTCTGCAGCGCTGGGAGTTGTCCTCTCCTTACCTTCAGCTGGGCAAAATCAAGGCATGGAGCAGGAGCCTCACTATGCTCAGCAAGTGCAGCCAGCCAGGCTTGACTCCACATAGAAGCAGAAGCTCCATGGCAGAGTGGGATCCCAGGACAGGGGAAGATTTTTACTCCCTGGACAGGGCTGCGAGCATCATTCTGGCTGCCTCCTCCCTGCCCTGCACCTCTCCTCCCAAGCACACCCTGCGCTGCAAAGACGAGTGGTCCCCTACCAGCAGCCCTCCCATCACCTCCAGAGAGTCCCAGCAGTTCACGAGGTGTTTGAAGCCCTGGCAAGGACCCATCTGGAGCCGGGGACCTCTTTCTCCTGGTGCTGAGGCTCAGGAATGCAGCGTGCATGGTCTGAGGCCAGCGAAAACGTTTGAACTCCCCCCTTAAGAGGCCCAGAGAGCCCGTCTCGCGCTGTTGAGCGGCAGACGCGCGCGGCAGCGATGGCTGAGCCAGAAAAGGGGGGGAAATATCAAAATTCTTTCAAGATGAAGCCACTGGGGAAGACTCAGTCGTCTCCACCAATAAACTCCACTTTGAATGCTTTCCCCTTTGAATACGTGGACTGATGGCTTTTATCAGGATATGCTGGCAATATAGGATGCCAGCCCTTTGGCCCGATGAGGAGAAGGCAGCTCATGCAAGTCCAGAGCATCCTGGAAGAAGGCAAGGGAGAAGAGTTAGTAAAGACACCCACGCAGCCTTGCTGCAAACAGAGGAACCTGTTTTGCAACGTGCCCATGCTCTCTGTGAGCTATGCACACCATGGCACCATGTCTGCAGGAGCTCAGCACGGGGCAAGCGGCCCAGACCAGCCTTATGTGGCCCCTTGCCCCACACTGAGGTCCTGTCAGTGGCTAGGCCATTTACCCAAGGATATGCCTTGGCTTCCACCACGGTGACTGCTAACAGTGGTGCCAGGTGCCTCTTTTCCCCTCACTGCCATGCTTTTCTCCTCTGGAAGGAAAGCTAGCTTGTTTAGAGATGCACTTTTAATCTCGGAGACTGCCTGCTATTCAAAAAGCCACCAAAAGGGGCATCTCTGCATATTTTAATTTCTTTCTCAGTTTTGAAGATAATTACACCAGGAGTGAGTGGCCTTGCGTGCTCCCCATTCAAGCACCTATCGGTACAATTAATCCCAGCACTGTTCTGAGCAGCGGCACAAAGGGCCTTTGGTGTAAGGTCCTTTATCTGGGAACAAAGAGCTGCCTGTGGGAGAGAACCTGAGGTTGCACTTTTCCCGCTGACAAGCGTTCCGTACACAAAAGCCGAGCCACAGGAGCGCCCTGTGAGCGCGTCAGGTCTGGGAGACCCCGCAACACGTTTTCTTGAAGCATGCGGCTCACCCCAATCCCTCCTCCTCCTCCTCCTCCTCCTCCTGCTCCTCCAGGAGGGTTCTTCCCCCTCTGACCCCAGCTAAACCCTGTAGCCATCCTCCTCCCAGGCAGGGGATGTCCCTGCTCCACGGCTAGGGGACTCCACATGCTGCCTGCATTTAGGA